GGAATACTATGCTGCACTGAAAAACAAGGAACTCATGCAATATTATTCAAAATGGGTGACCCTGGAGAAAATTATGCTGAGTGAAATATCTCAGTTGCAGAAGGACAAATATTGCATGGTGCTACTGTTGTAAAATGGGACTTATATCAGGGTTGGAGTAAGACTGAGAAAAACTGGATAAATTGTGTATACTGCACTGAAACAGATGAGGGACTGAATAATTTAAAAGCGATGAAGGATAGCATATTATGGTTATCACAAGAGTCCACAATTAAGGTTGCATAGTGTAATGTACTTGGGGCAGCGGGAGGGGTGTGAGGGGATCGTGTCCCAGGGAGGGAGTGTTTCTTTTACTTTTGAAAGAGAGGAGTGAAACGGGGAGGGGAAGGCTGGGCAGGGAGAGAAGTGCAGCAATGAATGAATGGAAATTCAAAATCTCTGTATATGCTCATTAAAAATATTAAAAAAATAAAGTTTAAGAAGAAAAAAAATTATGGAGGGACTAGTTAAGAGAGCTTTAATATACTGCAAATTACAACAGCCTTTTAGGAACACATATAACAGAATCACTTTCAAAGTAAATGTTCTCAGCTTGTTCTTAACTTGTAAAGAGAAGATCTGAAATTAAACTTAACTGACAAAATTTTCAGATACGTATTGACTCTCACACAAGGATCAAGTGAGGCTACACAAATAAGGTACTGCGGTCCAAGGAAACTGAACAGCTTGCTGATAATATATATAAGGTACATGGAATCTGTGATGGGTAAGGTTATGTGTCAAATGGGCTGGCCCATGATTTTCAGTGGTCTGGCAGTTCTATAACAATATCCTTTTTTCAATTATATAACAAATTTGTCATCTTCCACTTTATTTGATTTAATGTAATTGTCCTCCATTTTGTGATCATTTTGTTATCCTTATTTTTTTTTTTTTTTTGATCCACAAACTACATTTACTGAGCACTTACTGAATATATCATATGCAAAACAGGCAGGAAGAAACAGGTGAGAACTTGAAGAAATAGACACATCAATTTTAGCACTAACTAAACTATTGGAGAAGTACAAAAGTTGTATATGTTATACTCTAAAGAGCATTCTTATGTCCATCAGAAAAGGCTATAACACAATACAGTAACATTTTTTTCAAATTGTGCTTATTTTTGTACAATTACCCTAAAATGGGTTGGTCAAGTGCCTGTAGAGCATCCATTCTTATTACACAAAATGTCTTACATTAAAGATCGCTTGAATAGGGTAAATCCTTTGATTCACTTGTGAGTCATCCACATAGTTCCTCCAAGAAACATAACCACGTTTGCATTAGTTCATTTTACCATTAAGGTCCACGGTTTCTTCGGTCAAGCTTACTATCAGATTCTCTTCAGAAATCTCCCTTCATATCTCTTTTGTCTGATCATCTTCTTCAAGTTTCCTGTTTTCATTTTTTAAGCAATTTATAGTTTCACGACTTGCTTTTAATCTCTCTTTAAGTTCTGCAATTTCAAAGCTTGTTTTTTTCTTTGCAGCTTCCAGTTTTTCTCTGATTTTCACTTCAAGTTCTGCAAATTCTGTTTCATGCTTATAGACTCCTAATGTAAGCTGACGAGATGTTGTCAGTAATTGCTGCATCGTTGCTGTTGGATCTTGAAATATAGGTCTTTCATTAGGATCAATGAAAAATATTTTGATGATTATTTCAAATTCACCCCATCCTGTTTCAGTAATTTCATATGGAGGCTTAGTAACAACTCTTAAAGGATTACCATAGCTTTCATGTAATTTAAACTGGATTTTCTTCACATATGCTGATATATCCTCATTTCTATAAGGTTTTACATATACCGTCCGCTGATGAGTGTGTTCATCTTCCTCTCTTTTCTTTTCAAAGTAACGGGCAACATTACCATAAACTATTGCTTTAACAATAGTAACCCCCATCCGCCTTTAAACCACGGCTCAAATTCAAGGAGAGAAGGCGCGAACGGGAAACCAACCGGCCCTCCCCGTGCGGCGCTCCTTATCCTTATTTTAGTATGTCATGTGAGTCTTAGCTTTTATGCTGTGATTTAAGATCCCGTTTGTGGTGATTTTCTGTTATATCATGGATTTAGGATTTTGATGAGATTTATTTTTATCACCAGAGGGTGTGACTCAAGTCATCACTTTTATCCAATTTACTACCTTTATTTCCCCTATTCAAGTCACATTCTTACACCAACTTGACCAAATAAGGAGGGTATGGTTTGTGTCCTACGCATAAACACACACAGAGATCTATAAATCTCTGCAAAGTTCTCTCTCTCACCATGGATTAAAAACCAGCTGATCATCATAAGATCTCCAGTTTCTGATCTAGCAGAACACAAGTCTGCCCTGATTTACAATTATCCACAGCTCTGTAAGTCAGCACTCTGCCATGTAACCTGTTAATTTGGTTCATCAGTATCTATAACCATATGAGTAACAAGAAGCCTCCAGCCTAACCAAAGGATTTGGAACTTGCCAGCCTCCAAACTATAAGAGCCATTTCCTTGATGTTTCATAAGTTCTGTGAGGTGATGCATGCAAAGATATAATTCCCAAAGATGAGAAGATGAGTACTAAGGGGAGAAGTAGTTGAAGTTGTTGTTGTTGTTGTTGTTGCTGTGTGCCATCGCGTCGTTTGCGACTCATAGTAACCCTATGTACAACAGCCCTAAACCCTGCTCTATCCTGTGCCAATCTCATTGCCTCCGACACACCCATCCCGATTACCCCAGTCACTGAATGAATCCACCTCATAGAGAGTCTTCCCCTCCTGCACTGTCTCTCTGCCCAGCATGATGTCCCTCTCCAAAGACCTGTCTCTCCTTACAACAT